AGTGTGTGTGTGAGCGTGTGTGAGTGAGTGTGCGTGTGTGAGCGTGTGAGTGTGCGTGTGTGAGTGAGTGTGCGTGTGTGAACGTGTGTGTGAGTGTGAGTCTGAGCGTGTGTGTGTGTGAGAGAGTGAGTGTGTGTGCAATTGTATTATTTTCATAGTTCATACAATTCTAAGTTAATGATTTAACAAAGGGATCTTTGCTCACCTACACATTGCCATTAACATGCATGCAACACTTAATACATGTTCTTCCTCAAAATATGTCATTAAAAGATTTTATATATACATATATACACACACACACACACACATCAATTTTTCTCCAGGGTTTTTTTGTCTTAAAGTGACTCTAAAAATAATATCTAAATCTCAGACATGTTGAAAACTCAATTCCTTTATTTAACCATTATTAAATATGCATATAATAATCACACATATAATAATGATCATTTTTTTATTTTTTTATTATTTATCATAAACACTTATTTCTCAGACATGATAAAAGCTCTTTATTTATTTATTGACACTCGCAGTCCATCAGTTCAGCACTTCAACTTTACGTCATAATAAAATACGAGCAGTGTGACTGTCACTTCTAAACTAGATATTACAGTATAGAAAAAATTATCTCATCATTTGATCCTTGAATCAATGCTTGCATTCAAGCGTCTTCAGTGGAGATGCGTGTGTTTATAGCATATACTGTAACATCCTAAAGACATCTGAGGCACATTCAAGAGAGGACGATGATTTCACAGAAAGAATAAGAAACGGAAATATATATATATATATATATATATATATATATATATAAAGCATAAAACAGAAATAAACAGTGTATAATAGTCCAGGATCAGCTGGTCTGTAAGGCAGAAACTAATAATCAAACACTGAGGAGGGAGGATGAATCCGGGGCCCAAACGAAGCGAAGCATGAGTTTTACCTTTAATACCTCTCTCAGTCGTCATGTGCTCTTCTGCCTCCACGCCTCCTGCAGCTGCTGCAGACTCTCGAACGCTCCAAAACTGA